GTTACAGAATCCCCAGAGCAGTTCTTTATGGTCATGTCTTCATCATCCTTGCAAATAGCCTATAATAAAAGAGTTAAAAAAAATTAGTTATAATTGATTACTCATCAGACAAGGTCCCCACTACGCTAAACCTGTAGGAAGTGTGTGTGTGTGTATCACAGAGGGGTTTATATGGCATTCCTGAGACACTACAGGTCCCCACTAAGTACAATACACTAGAAACTGTGTAAGAGTCAAGACCAAATATAATAGATGGACAGACAGACTGATAGAGAGATGGACAGACAGAGAGATGGATAGAGACAGACAGACTGATAGAGATGGATAGAGAGATGTATAGACAGACAGACAGACTGATAGAGACAGACAGACAGACAGACAGATAGAGAGATGGATAGACAGACAGACAGATAGAGACAGACAGACTGATAGAGACAGACAGATAGAGAGATGGCTAGATAGACAGACAGACAGATAGAGAGATGGATAGACAGACTGACAGACAGATAGAGATGGACAGACAGACAGATAGAGAGAGAGAGATGGACAGACAGACAGATAGAGACAGACAGACTGATAGAGACAGACAGACTGATAGAGATGGATAGACAGACGGATAGAGAGATGGATAGACAGACTGACAGACAGATAGAGAGAGATGGACAGACAGATAGAGAGAGATGGACAGACAGATAGAGAGATGGATAGATAGATAGATAGATAGATAGATAGATAGACTGATAGAGAGAGATGGACAGACAGAGACAGATAGAGACAGACAGACTGATAGAGATGGATAGACTGACAGACAGACTGATAGAGAGAGTTGGACAGACAGACAGATAGAGAGATGGACAGACAGATAGAGAGATGGATAGATAGACAGACAGACAGATAGAGAGATGGATAGACAGTAGGGCTGGGCGATATGACGATATTATCGTATATCGACGATGTCTCGCAAGTATCGCGATGTCGATTTAACAGTCTGTTTCCAGACGATAATCGTCAATATCAAATAATGACATAGGCTTATATTTCACATAGCCCTATATAGTAAAACATATTTATTCACATGCAATAACATGAATGAAATATTTTTTATAGGCTAGTTAGTAGCCTAGGATTAAGAATAGAAAATCGATTCTTGATAGCATTCTTAAAGCGCAAGACAAACATGTCTGCATGCGCGCTGTTTTCTGAGCTGCGCACTCACACAAAGCGTGCAAAGAGCCGCGTCTCATATAGTGCACGGACAAATACATAGAATTATATCTCACAATTATCCTTTTAGATAATTTATAGCATCAAATAAACATGAATAAACATCAGAAGAATTATTTTTTCAACCGTGGAAAGACTTCAGTAGGTACACACCTCTTTTCAAGTTCAAATATCCCCGTAAACACAGCCGGTTTTGTCTTAACGGTTGAGAAAGTAAAACAGTAGGCCTATGTCCATTGAATCAGTCCACTGACAGCCTATACTCGCTGCCACCATTAATGTTGATCAAAGAACAAAAGAAAAAGAAAATCACTCACTGAACTTTTGTAACTTTAATTAGCTTAATATTTTATTTGCCTGTTGTTCGGCGCTGACAGCTCCAACTACAACATGAGTCTATATGCGACTTTGAGATGCGTTCCCTGTCAAACATCATTTATCCTTACTTTTGTAATTTTGTTAAACATTTTTTCTTCATATAATCAAGTAGCCTAGCCTAGGCCTATTTTATTTTGGTTTGCAGGCTGATAAAAGTTCATCAGAAAAACAAATGGTAGAAGTAGGCTAACTTTACCCGTTTCTGAATATTAATTTAAATGTTGCACATAATAAATAGGTCTAATCAAAAAGCACAAACATGAGCATTGTAATTAAAATTAAAATTTCATTATATTGCAAACGGATGAAGAAATTGCGTTGCTTTGAATAGGCTATCTCATGCACGCGTTCGGAGTTTACAATGTTGGCAGCTCCGTTACAGTATAGGCTATATTGGGAGCGTTATACTTTGCTTTAGAATAAAAAATAATAATAAACAAAACAAACAAAAAAATCCCCAAATATAATTTTTAATGACTTTCTGTCTAAATAAACAAAGCAGTCATTTTTATTTCTTAAACCAAAAAGGAGGAGGAAAAAACAAAACATTTTTGCTCATGCAGAACAAAACAATTCGTTTTTATTTCCTAACTTTAGACATATAACAAATATATTATAGTTTGAATACAAGTTTAAAAACAGCGCAACACATTATTAGGAAATTAAACGTAGGCTCATTAAATCAGCGATACCGCCAAAAAAAAGAGAGAAAATCGGATCTTATGAAAAACAAGGCAAGACACCTTATAACATCAACATGCATTCACCTTTCTTACAATCACCAAATTGCGTTCTGTTCTGTTCAGTTGTATTTAACATTTCTCCTCGCGAAACAAAATTCATTTCAAACACAGATGCAATAAGAACAGTGAGGAAATTATTAGCAACACTAACATAACAAGCAAAGCTAATGTTTTATGCTCGTTTAAGCTCAAACTAACCAAAGTAAAACATTTAATGTTTCAATCATTAAATTAAACCAACTAAATCGCAGGCTATCAGTAGATAAAGTGCAGCCAAACTCAAAATGACTTGTGTTAACGGTGTAGGGCCTATGTCGGTAGTGTTGTCTCCAGCGGGGCGTGTAGGGGGCGGGGCTTGGGCAGACGATATAATCGGATATCGCAATATTTTTTAAGACGATTATCGATAAAATATTTTTTACATATCTCCCAGCCCTAATAGACAGACAGACAGATAGAGAGATGGATAGATAGACAGACAGATAAAGAGATGAACAGACTGATAGAGAGAGATGGACAGACAGAGAGAAAGACAGATATTAAATATATATGTACCTCAACTGTACGTCGTGAAACACCAGCAGTTGTTACAGAATCCCCAGAGCAGTTCTTTATGGTCGTCATGTCTTCATCATCCTTGCAAATAGCCTATAATAAAAGAGTTAAAAAAAATTAGTTATAATTGATTACTCATCAGACAAGGTCCCCACTACGCTAAACCTGTAGGAAGTGTGTGTGTGTGTATCACAGAGGGGTTTATATGGCATTCCTGAGACACTACAGGTCCCCACTAAGTACAATACACTAGAAACTGTGTAAGAGTCAAGACCAAATATAATAGATGGACAGACAGACTGATAGAGAGATGGACAGACAGAGAGATGGATAGACAGACAGACAGATAGATAGAGAGATGGAGACAGACAGACAGATAGAGAGATGGATAGACAGACAGATAGACAGACTGATAGAGAGATGGACAGACAGAGAGATGGATAGATAGACAGACAGACAGACAGATAAAGAGATGGACAGACTGATAGAGAGAGATGGATACACAGACAGACGGATAAAGAGATGGACAGACTGATAGAGAGAGATGGACAGACTGATAGAGAGATGGATAGATAGACAGACAGATAAAGAGATGAACAGACTGATAGAGAGAGATGGACAGAGAGACAGATATTAAATATATATGTACCTCAACTGTACGTCGTGAAACACCAGCAGTTGTTACAGAATCCCCAGAGCAGTTCTTTATGGTCATGTCTTCATCATCCTTGCAAATAGCCTATAATAGCGGTGTTAATAAAGCACCCGTTTGTTACAGTTGTGGTTTGTATTCAACACACGTACAATATTGTACAGTTTGTTCTGCTAAATAAACCATGACAGGAAACATGCTGGGGTCAATTTGTTCTTACACATTGGTAATACTGCACACATTATTTAAAAATATACTCAGGTACTTAATTACTTGTGCATTTACTTATTATTGAATCGATATCGAAGCTAATAAATCAATATCGAATCGAAGCCTCAAGTATCGAAATCGAATTGTGAAATTCCTAACAATACCCAGCCCTATTAATTACATATTTAAAATAGTATTAAGCAAGTTAGTAGTAAGCAAAATGTACTAAACGTGAAACTACTCATGCAAAATGGCCCTATATAAAGTATTATAGTTATATAAATTATTGGAATATTGCTTGATGTAACGTAGCGTTGTAGGCAGAACAGGTTTTAACATGATCTAAAGGAACTGAGGAGGTCGTTTGACACAGAGGGATTTGATGAAATGTTAAAGCTGCAGTCGGCAGGTCTGGCAGATTGAGTGGACTTAGGCAAAATTTTGAATGTTTACAACTCTCATGCCCCTCCCCCACTATCAACGAATACCCTCCCACCGAGTTCATGCCCGTCAGTGCGTGTGCACCAGATTTTCTGTGAACGCGCCCGTCTCATCCGCCATCACTCTTCGTTACTGCGCGAATTTCAGGCGTGTGCATGTGATTGTAACGTGCGCGAGGGGTGGCGTGTGCCCGATCTGTGATTGACAGTCAGATCTCACACCCCCCTGCGCTGATTGGACCCGATGATCCGGGAGCGGTGGATTTTTGCGAAACAAATAACACGCTCCAGGTGGAGTTAGAAGCTCTGGGTTTTTTCTAAAACCACTTTATGTATGTTGTTCTGTCGGATTATAGTGTCGATTTCACTGAATATGATCAAAAAAATGTTGCCGACGGCAGCTTTAATGTCATTTTAAATCCGTTTAAAACCTGAAATGTATATATTTACATTTATTAATTTAGCTGACGCTTTTATCCAAAGCGACTTACAATTGCTATATTTATGTCAGAGGTTGCACGCCTCTGGAGCAACTAGGGGTTAAGTGTCTTGCTCAGGGACACATTGGTGTCTCACAGTGGATTCGAACCCGGGTCTCTCACACCAAAGGCATGTGTCTTATCCACTGCGCCATCATCATATATATATTTTTTATTTATTTTAAAAAAAATAATATATTCCGATAGTTAGCTGTATCAATATTTTAGCACAGCCCTACTAATAGAGAGATAGATGGATAGACAGACACACCCATAACTGTAAAAATAAGAAAAGTAGCCAAATTTGATCAAACCTTTCTCCAAGGCCAGTCACTTCCTCCATAGTCATATGAGATTTCTTCTCCAGGAATGATGTATTTTGCTGCAAAAAGGCACAAATGTGGCTTTCCCTCGACAATAACCTTTTTCATTATGCAATTTGGATTCCCGTAATCATCATTCACGAGCCGGCCAAGCGTGGTGTTCTCATGAGTTGCATCAATGCTTAAAAAAAAAAAATGAAATTTATATGAAGGTTTAGCCTAACAAACCATAACAAGACACAAATTAGAACTAGGGCTGGACCCGAATATCCGAATATTCGTTCGGTGGGTTGGTATTCGATTGGAAAATGTGACATTCGAACATTCTCTTTTTTTTTTTTGCACACCACCTTAGCCTGGCTGCCAGCCCGAACCCCGCCCACATGAATTTTTGAAGTTCGGTCTGGACTCGATCCATTGAGGAGTAATTATGATCAGTCAAAAAATGGTCGGACCAATCAAATTGCCAGAGCGGGATTTATACGATGATTGACAGATGAGGTGCAGTTATGTAATCCTCACATCACCAAAGAGCGCTTGGGTTGAATTCGTTTACAACAAAGTTCTGCCGCTGGAGAATTGAGATTTCACGAGTTCACACTTACAAATGAGTCAGATAGAATAAATGCGTATATGACGTGCTGTCCGAGGAGAGGGCTCCGTGATCGGTATTCGGCCCGAACCCAGAGCACTCCCCCGTATTCCTGGCTGTGAAAGAACAAGCCAAGAGTGAGGAGTCGGGGTGGTGGAGGGATGCTGAAAAACTGTAGAGGAGTGTTCGGTGAGTTAGAGTGAATATGCTTCCTCTCATGCTGATAGGGTAACGTTAGACATGGTATTGTTTGATGACAAGTTGATTGGATTGATTATTTAAACGTGCTCCTCCCAAACTTTGTTTATGAAAAAACAATAATCGTGTATATTCCGCCATCGCGTCTGTTATAGAAGATATCGACAGCGTATTGCTTTTAAAAGAGGAACAGAGAACCGCGATCAAGGCATTTGTCGGTCGGAAAGATGAATGAAAAACATGCGTCATTTACTCCGTTGCTCTGATTGGTTGTAGGTCTATCCAATTGAATGCAGAGGCATTTTCTTTTCTGGTTCGGTTGAAACAAGCCCCATAATCACAGCCCAATGGAGCAGTATCAGACTCACATTCTTTCTAGAATATGAGTATGGCGAAGTCAGGCTAACACCACCTGGCATCCCCCTCGAAACGGTTTTCATTCGTGCTTGAATATGTTTTACACTCTAAAATCTGGTGAAATATAATACTTAACATAACTTCGTTATAGCTACTTAATAAATATATTTGCTGCTTCTTGGACTACTAAAAGTGTTCCTGCAACGGGAGTATTCTCTGGCTATAGCGCAGAACAGCGGAGTTTGATGCCCGAGCTTGTATTTTGGGTTAAGCTGCGTTGCTTTGACACTGTGGAAAATAGAAACAAAATGTATTATCCTTTTTACCCGTTATTATCAATCTAAATTAATCTACTGCGAAATATAGGAGACTTTGAGATTTTACTGGGACGTCACAATTTTGTTTCTTTATTTAAATTTCGTTTTTCTATATTTAAATTTCGTTTTTATTTTTTATTTATTTAAATTTCGTTTTTATTTATTTAGATTTCGTTTTTTTTATTTAAATTTCGTTTTTATTTATTTAAATCTACTTTGTCAGTTAGAAAAATATTATAAGACTATACCTTATTAAAAATATTGCTTAAAGCTACACTGTGTAACTTTTTTAGTTTATTCTTAGCTAAAAACACTTAGTTATTTCAAAAATATATGTGCTCATTAATGTATATTTACTTCGTTCAAGTAATAAAGTATTCTCGTGAGTGTATAATATGCCATTGAAAATACATACGGGTGAGGGGTTCTAATGTCGGTCCCCCTCCATCTTGAAAGTACATTAGCCAAAGAGGGACATACCCGTTAATTCAAGCTTCGCCTTTCGCGTTTTAACACTCGATGGCACCGTGTCGAATGTGAAGAGGGGGATTGCTTGAGACTGATATATAAACACCTGAAAGCCTTTTTGAAAGTCTGTTGCTGATGGAGGATCACTCTTATTCTCGAGGATACGTATCAGAGTCGCCTGATACGTTTTTTAAGAATTAAAATTAAGACGGCAACGCAACAGGCAAATCAACAAGACAAAAGTAAATATTGGAGTGGCCTTTCCAAGATGGAAAGAGCTCATGACGAGCAACGATTTTAAAAAGGACGCAGACGTTGCCTGCTTTCTTCTCGACAGGTAACGTTAATTAAGCCTATTTGTGTATATTGGCAGTTTTATTGTTACTTGGCTAATTATATCATGGTGTGCTGTGCATAACGCTAGAACAACATCTAGGATTGGTTTCCTCGCGTCAATGATGAAAAGTATTGTTTACCTTGTAACATAAATCCGTGTTCTATGACGGATAACATGTGATTAATATTTTAATGGCGCTATATACTTTACTAAGATTAGCTTGCATTCGCCTGGGAACCTAATAACTTATGTTAGCAATGAAATGGTAAAAAAATAACGAAAACATAAAACTATTATTCATTTTACATAGATGTCATAACCTATATGTTACCTGACAAATTAAATTACTGCAAATTATAATAGTTTTCTAAAATAACCTCATCACTTGAAGGAACACTCATGGACGAGGTCAAACTGGAAGCCATGTTAATCTTGGACTACATTGGCCACCGTAGGAGTTAAAACGAAATCGGAATTGAGAGGAACAGAAACTAATATTCACTGGATGGTCATATACCTTTTCACCGCTAGATGGGGGTAAAAATCACACAGTGTAGCTTTAAGTTAAAAGATCTTTGTGTGTGTTTTATAATCACTAATGCAGTGTTCGTTCTCGGAGCATATAAGCTCTGCTCGCGTGAGGCTCGCCGCTACCCGCTCGCGCTGTTCTGTAGTTTATTAAAAGTTTTTTAATTCTGAACGTGTCGCGTCTCGCCTGTCTATCTATATTGCACCAAATACGACACTGCACTCCCTTGTGAAGTCGTTTGGATGAACGGTTCTCGAAATAATCAAAATGCAAACGGACAGACAGACATAGGGCCTATAGTTCACATATCGCGTCTTTTGCGCGCTCAAGTTCGTTATTTCAAATGTAGGCGCGCGGGATGCGCTCTCATAATGGAAGCGACGCGCTCGTTTTTTCAAAGCGCCGCATCGAGATAAAAACATCTCAACTTTTCAGAATGCCGCAAGCGCTTTGATTGCTCACGCTACTGATCCACTTGTGCGACACGACTGAAGCGTGGTGTCGCGACGCCTCCCCACATTTGTACGTTGATGGGCGTTCCTCAAGTTTGCTGCTATGGGCGGGGTTTTGACCCAGCGGCCAGTCTAGAACAGAGGACCTGCGAGAGACTTCCCCCGTCTCCATGTGCTCTACTTCTATTGGATAGACGCTTCGCGTTTGACGGATTCATTTGCATAAAGCTGGGCATCGGCCAGCTTTTGGACGCGCAGCATTTTTTCAAATGAAGCGCCGCCTTCCCGGGATGCTTTGCGGGCGCGTTAAAGTCGCGTGACGTCACCCATAGGAATAAAGCGGAGCGCGGCGCGACTGAAGTGTCGCACGGACAAGTGGATCAGTACCGTTAGCAACGCCTCCGGAGCGCAACCGCCCTAGCGCTTTGGAAAAAGGAGAACGCGGCGCGCCTAGCGTTTTCTACGGGTTTTTAGGCGCTATATGTGAATGGCGCCTTAGGCTATAGAGATTCCGAAGCTTCGAATATTCGATGTTCATTACTACCGAAGCTTCGAAGCTCAAAAAATGATATTCGGACCAGCCCTAATTAGAACATGATCACAAAGAAATGTAAAAAAAAAATTATACATGTAAATTAAAAAAATTTAACTACTTTAAAAACCTACCACCACTTCTTGTTTTGCCAGATGAAGTCAAACATAAACACAGTATTTTGATTGACCTCTCTTCTGCGTTCAGATTCGATTAAAGCAATCATTTCCCCCCTATATTCAACAACAAAATCTCCTTTATTAAAAGGAGCCAATGCAAACACTCCACGACCTGAAAAAAAGGGTAAAATAAAATGTTTTGACACAATCCATTCTATACATTTAATAATACACTGATGGTTAGCCCATTATAAATAACTTCTGTAATAGTTTAACCAGGGGTTCTACACCTTTTTGACAATGAATCTCAGAGAACACCTTCAAGACAACTAAAGGCTGCTGACAATTTACTGCAAAACTGCTCAAATGTTTAAAAAAAAAAATCAATTATATGTAATCTGATTTTTTTTAAACAAAAAATAATCACAATTTTAAAATATCCCTCATATTTTTAGGTTTTAAATGACCCCAGAGCCCATACTTTTAAAAAGAATCATAGTTACTATAGTATTGGGTCATTTATGACATAAAATATCATCGTTAAGAATCTGTGGAAAGTAACAAATTGTGAATTTACCATACCATAGTTAAGATAGTTACAATAAGGAGCCGTACTCATTAATGCGGGCTATACAGATAAGATATATAATTAATTCGACTCCTTTATTCATAACCTCGATTTACTAATCTGTTGCCTGCTGTTTAATCAAATTAAATTTGTTGGAACGTGTTCCTAATTCATGGCCGCCATAGCGCTATACATTTTACCCGCGTCATGTGCTGAGCTCCGTAGTATGATAATAAAACCATATCTTTACAATCAACTCACAACTATAAACTCTAAAAACTTACCTTTATGATCATTTATGTATCTAGCCTCCAGTGCGTCGGTCTTATCAGTGGCATTGATAACATGGTCCTCGGCATCTTTTGCTGGTCTAATTCTCCTCCGTCTCATGGTGATGTAGAAGCCAGGCTCGTCTCAGCGTCACCCCGGGGTTCACGATCACGAAGGCCGCTCCGCTCGCTTAAATCTCCCGCCGTTTAGCATTAGCCGGACACACTACACCACGCGTTATATACACTTTAAATTATATATAGCTGCTACTGACATGCAATTTAAGTTTATAAATAGTATATTCGCTACAGTCAACGACAGTCAACGACCAACATCAATTACACCTCATTAGAAAACTCCATTAGGTCATGTAATTCAACAATCTTTCGAAATTATTCGAACTTGTTATGTATTTTTATTTAATTATCGAATATAACATTAAAAATAGGCTAATTACCTGTAAAAATGTATTAATCCCGTTGATTGACACCAATAAACGTGACTCGTTCGATTAAGCGATTGTTTTGCGCATGAGCAGTTGGTGAAATGTGCGTCTTACGTCACACGTGTGCTTAAGGATGCAGTTCCGCGAACATACTGCAGGAGCGCTAAAGAGCAGCGCTGCGATACACACTTACACTCGGAGATCAGGTATATGCTCATGGTGGGGATTTAGAAAAAAACTGCACTAGGCATATCAGCAACGCCTCCTGAGACTATTACAACCAAATCATTGTGGGGACCGGGGAATTGGTCCCCACCATGTTTTTGGTCCCCACTTTGTGAGTGTGCTAACATGCTGAGGACCCCACCATGTGATAAAAACAAACACACACACACACACACACACACACACACACACACACACAGTTAGTTAGATGTCAGACTCGGTCATGTAGTAGAAATCACAAAAAATCTATCTTTGCAGAAATTCCACATAACTGCTTTCATTCATAAACCACAAATATCCTGAATTCAGTTTAAAATATTCTCAGTTAAATCAATATTCACTAATACTCAAAAATGTATAATGTAATTCTAAATATAAATCAGTTCTGTAAAGCAGACATGATATACAGAGAATCTTACAGTAATTTGATATTTTCTGAATAATCATTTCATTATTAATTGTATTTTGAAAAATTCTTAAGACTCTCACAATCATAATCATCAGCAAATTTCAGTTCAAATGATGAATTTTTCAAATCTTTCTATTTGTCCGATGGCGACGCCTAAAAAATATAATTATTTTATCCGTATAATCAAACTTTTGTGTCATGGATTTTAAAAAGTATTAGCAGTTAAATTTACCAAGAATTATGGACACAATTATGTACTTTAAAAAAGCCTGAATATGGCAGAAAATATAACAGTATTACAAACTACATTCAATATAATATTACAATAATATTGCAATCAATATATTAAAAAACAATGAATGTTAGCACTTTTAATATATGAAATTACTCATGTGCAAAGACAATATGAAAACAATATGAAATATGCTTTGAAATATATAAAAAAATATAAACGTGATGAAATCTCACGGAATATACACATTTTTTGTAAAATAACAGACAAATTTAAAGAAATTGTGAAACAATCAAATTCGCCATGAAATATTGCAGTTATTATTTTTTTATTTAAACTCTTTTTTAATTTTTTTAATCTTTTTGCCAAATGCTTGCTAAAATAATCTAAAAACAAAACAAATAAATAAAAAATAAATCATTTTTAGAGAATAGAAGAGACTTACTGATCGTCAGTTTAGTTCCTCCACCGAAAGTCCACCACAGTGTTTCATTCTAGTGAAAGCGTCGTACAAAAACCTCCGTCACACTCAAGTGAACACACACACACACACACACACACACTGATATGAGACTCAACATCATGATTATTGAACTGAAGTGACTTTCACAAAAACAGCCTCATCGTCTCTAAATGTCTCTTAATGCATGAAAACTATTAAATCTAAATAAATAATATAACCAGAAAGACTCTGATCATTACACATCTAAATTGAGAGTTTCTAAATGATCGTGTGTTTCTCAAAGCATTTGAATAAGTTTTGATGACCTGTGACCTCTGGAATGACCTTTGACCTCTCATGGAGTTCACAGTGAAATACTTGTTTCTTTTAGTGATGAAACTCTGTCACTCGATTCATCAGAAAGTCTGAACTCTGAACCAGAGACTCATGCAGAATAAAGAAGAAATGATTTCTAAACTTGTAAAGAAGTGAAAACACACTCATTGATCATGAGAATAAAACACATTAAAGGCATAAACTGGATCAGTTTCGTCTGCATGTTCATGTTCATGTGTGTTTTCCTCCAGCTGGTTTTTGCTCAGAGAGTCACTTTGCATCGGCACGTGTTTCAGCTCTCCGAGTGTTTATAGCCTTCAGACTCACACACTTTATAACATACGGCTGTTTACCACGGTACAAACCCAACACACACCATGAATCTCTTCAGCGGCTTCATCTGGATTCTGACAGCTTTTATTCCAGGTAACAGAAGTCAAAGCTCGTCATTTCTGAGTCTTTAATGTTCATTTCATTTGATGAAACTCATATAATGTTGTTGTCGACAGCATCCAGAGGAATCACTGTGACTCAGCCTGAAGTTGTGACTGTTTCTGAAGGACAAAAAGCCACTATAGAGTGTAAAACTGATGCTGGGATATTTGGCTATGGTTTAGCTTGGTATCAGCAGAAACACGGAGAAGCTCCTAAACTCATCATTAAGCTGGTAGATGAACTCTATGATGACAGTCTCAGTCGATTCAGTGGGAATGGAGAATCAGAAGGAACAGATTTCACTCTGAGCATCAGTGGAGTCCAGACTGAAGATGCTGGACATTATTACTGTCAGAGTTTCCATGTGACCGACAGTGGTGATCCAGTGTTCACACAGTTATAAAGAGTCGTACAAAAACCTCCGTCAGTCAGAGTCACAGTGACTGAACTGAAACTGCAGCTGCTCAAACACACACACACACACAGACACACGACTCAATATGATCTTACTGAACATCATTTTGTTTAGCTTTATCAGTTTTTAACATTTTTGATTGTGATTTTATAGAAGTCATATTTCTCCTGTTTCCTATTACATCCTTCATGTAGAAATTCAGTCACTTTTGATTTTCACTTCAGTGGATATTCTTCAATCCTTCACCACATTTTTGATTTTCTGCATTTATGATTTCATATAGCCTAACAATGTCGATGGATTTATTAAACGAATCCCTCATAATGCATATATTAACAGCATCATATAAACACATCCCTCAACATCAGAGCTGATAATAATTTATATTAATATGTATGTATGGAGGAATTAGCTAATAATTTAATTTAATTTAATTTAATTTAATTTAATTTAATTTAATTTAATTTAATTTAATTTAATTTAATTTAATTTAATTTAATTTAATTTAATTTAATTTAATTTAAAAAATAAAGACCAGATTACCCAACAGGAGCTGTATACTAACCAAAAACAGCATATGTCACCCTATTTTTTTAAATGTATTTTATAAACATTGTGAGACTCACAATCAAACTCAGTTATTCGATGACTGACAGAGACTCGTGTGTGTGATGATCATGTTCATAAACTCCAGGAACACACACGGATTTGGTGTAAAATTTGGGAATTAACAGCGACATTTCACTCCAACTACAGTAAAAAATATTCTCCAAGTCTCTCAGTGAAGTCTTGTCTCGCTTTCGGGGCTACATATTATATAATCCATTGAATAAAACTATAGTTTTTTATTCTGCTAAGAGAACCGACGGCCAGCGCTGCAAAGTTTCTGAAGTGACATTACATATAAATGCTGGATTCACTCTGCATGGATGTGACATGTTATAATAGTAACACATTAAAGCACTGTAAAGGCAGACTAAAAGATGAATAGAAATATATAGCAAAATATATATTTTTCAATTCTATTCCAGTTATTGGTAAAAGTGATGGCCTGTAAATAATGTTAAATGTCTCGCTGTACACTGTATGGTGGAGCCGTTGCTGAAGTTTAAATCTGAACTTTACTATAGAAAACCTTCAGTGATTTGAGTCTGGATCCGGATCTGCTCATATTCAGATATTCAGATTAATATACTGAAGCTGGTCTTGTAGATGTGATCAGAACTGAATTGAATGATATAATCTTTAACATTTTGACTATTGTAGAGGATACAATATTATGAAAAACGTTTATTTCTACTCTGTTCTCACTTCAGTAATTGTGTGTTGTGTCTGTTATTGAGTGACTGTCTTCAGGGAAATGATGTGGAGTGTGTTTGCATATTGATCAGATCTTCAGTGTGTGAGAGTGTTTATAGTGCTGTGAGTTTAACACTTCATCACTGACACACACAACAATCTTCATCAACATGACCTTCATCATCATCTTCATCTGGACTCTCACAGCGTTTGCTCAAGGTTTGTGGAGCACAAGTTTGATATCAATTCATTTCTTCAAGTATATTGTCAAAGTTTTGAGTGTATTTTCTTGTTGTGTGTTTCAGAGTGTAGAGGACAGATCACCGTCACTCAGAGTCCCTCAATAACAGCAGAACAACCAGGAGGAACTGTGAATATCAAATGTAAAACCAGCACAGATGTGCTCAGGGATAGTGATGGGGATGATTATTTATTCTGGTACTTACAGAAACCTGGAGAAGCTCCTAAACTCCTGATTCGTTATGTAAAAATCCGTCAGTCAGGAACTCCATCTAGATTCAGTGGCAGTGGATCTAACAGTGATTTCACTCTGAGCATCAGTGGAGTCCAGACTGAAGATGCTGGACATTATTACTGTCTGAGTTATCACAGTGGTTATGTGTTCACACAGTGATAAAGAGTCGTACAAAAACCTCCGTCAGTCAGAGTCTGAACTGAAACTGCAGCTGCTCAAACACTTTCACACACACACACACACACACACACACACACACACACACACACACACACACACACACACACACACACACACACACACACACACACACACACACACACTTCATGTGATGAAGTTGTACTTGCACTTCATTAATATTATAAAGCATGATTCTTTTTCTTCTTAATCATACAATCATAC